GTTTATAAATGTCCTGACTGAGACCGAGGGAATAGAGGGGTCACAAAACACGCTGTTTTCCCGAGGTCTCAGTAAATAAGTGTTTTATTATATAGCAAGTGTCAATATCTCACTAATTCACCTGGTATTCCGAAACTGCAATAAAACCGATCGGCAGACATGTTGAAACTCTTGAAAAAGCTTTGCTTTGAACTTATGATGCGAACAACTCGCGCCTCACTTTCGGTTTTATTATTGGCTGGTCAATAATTGTTTCATTGTTGACCGGCTGCCCCCTCGCCAAAGCATGCTGTGAACATGACGTTTTGTGGACCGGCACGTGATACGGTTTTGACCAATCGGTAAACAGGAAAATTGAACTTTGACACTTTTTACAGTATATAATAAAATAAATTAAATAATTTATTATTGTTAAAAGGCAAGATTAACCAGACATGGAGCATGCGCAAAATAACTGCACTACAAGGGCATAGACATGATTTGACGTGATTTGACATGATTTTACGATTTCCAAACCAATAACCGAACAATTGAAAATAATTTTTCAGAACTCAGTTGTGGAACTCACTTTCCAGTGACATCAAAAACTAAAACTCCTTGCAGGTTTTTAAATCAAAATATCTTAAATCCTATCATTTGTAACTTCAATTCTATAAGGATTTTCATTTTCATTCATGATAATAGTAATATCTGTTTACCAACATTTTAGTCAAACATACAAATCTTGTATTTTTTATATTGTAATACTTTAGTTAACTTATAGTCAGGGCTTGCAGGAGGTATACCCTGAATAAATAAAGCTTCATCATCATGCTATTAGTAAATATACCAATGAAGGCTTATGATTCCGAACAAAATAACAGACCAACAAACTTACGCAGGGAATATAAAGCGATACCTAATTTCATTTGGGCACCGCAATTTAAGACCTTATTTTAACCTACCTTTCCTCGTTTGATTTTTACTGGTAGACAGTGTTTCGTCATCAAGCGAGTCTGTTCTTGCCGTCTCTCTTGCCTCACCTTCCGCCAACACTTTACTTAGCTAAGATATCCTATAACAGATGAGAAGATCTATCGTTAAAAAGGCGACCGTCTTCTTCAAATAGCAGCCCTTGTTACCGACAATGCTCCTAATTTAAAACCAGGAGCAGCTGGTTGGGTCAAAAAATTGTATATATTAACTTCCGCTCCAAATTACGAAAACCCTTCAACTTTGAGATGCTCGAAAAGCTTGATATTTACCCATACCTTTAACGTTTTAGCCCATAATAAGCATAAAATATGAATTGTTAGGCACAGAAGAAAGTATTTTTGTTTTTGCTGAAACGAGTGTGCACGAGAGGTCAGAATTCCCGCACTGATCGGCAAATCGTTGTGGTATGATAACTGTGCATACATACACATTGAGATATATATTTCAGAAAAGTTTCGCTTACCTGAATAAAAGCAGCGTACGACGAGAAACTTATAATATAGTGTTAAGAAGTGGTGGATGGTTTTTTCTTTGCCAATATGATGCGTCGGCGTTTCAACGAAATGAAATGGTTTTCCAAGTATTTTCTTATTTTTACCCATTTCGTATTCATTTGCATTAAGCTGTCAAAACATGAACAAAATGCTCTTTTACTACACAGCAGGTGTTGGGAATTTGTAATGAGTTCCAGGAATTCCAGTTTCGTTTCACTTTTACCCCATTTGTCTTAAAGCCAATGCTGCAATCTCATTGCCATTTGAAGCCGTTAGAGAAAGCCACCGATTGAGCAGCAGCAACAACAACAATATATGTACAAATTGATAATTCTAACAAGAAAAGCAACAACCGAAGTGATAACATCAGTCAACAAATGCAACAACAGGACGAACTTACAACAGCATTTTAAGCAGATAAATGTGAACATGTACGCTTCTACGTGCCTATTTTTTTCTTCTTACTACACATATCAAAAAGGCGTCGAAGCTGTGTAGCTATACTATCTATTATTTGATAGGCATGCACTATAGTCTTGTTTTAAAATTAACAAGGTCCTGCTGGTTACGCTTCCGCAATTTTAATAAAATATTAGAAAGATCATGACAGTTCACCATCTTCTCTCCCACGAGGCTACAATATTGAAAACTGCAAAAACTTCCATCATATTTTTTTATTTCTATCACAAGTTTCTTCATTATAATTCTTAGTGCGTCATAACAGTAGTCAACTATTTGTCTTATATGACATCTTTTCTGAAATAGTTTTTAATTGAATTTTGTGCCTATAGTTTCAGACGGTGTTGCTCGAAATTTCAACACTTTTTTGGTGATCTAGGTTTTCAACTTGTTGGATACAGAAGCAGATTTTTCTCCGGATAAAGAAGACATCATTGACATGTAAGGGTACTGACGTTTAAATAAGTTACTGTATGTTTTTCGCCTTTAATTAACTAGTTCTATAATTAACTAGTTCTATAAGCTCTACAAGCCTTGGTATAAAACAAGCTTTAAGAAATTTCTACGAGAATAGACTCTCATGTGCATGTCACTGTATTTTGGTAATAAGAACCTCAGCAAAAGCATTCTAACCAGGAACGCGTTAAAATGTTTTCTACCGTACTTTAAAGCTAATATTTACATTCGCATTCAGGTTCAAGACACTCGATATGGACAGAAATGGTGATTGTAAGTATTCATAATTCTTAATGGTAGTGTAGTTCTACGTGCGGAGTGAAACGAATAATTTGCCACACCAGTAATTTTCCATTGTGACACTAGGGTCTGTAGTAATGTGAGAATTATCTCTTCAATTTCTGAGCGCTTTTGCATTTACAAGTACACGGTAAAAACGCACAGGTTGTTCCAAGTTGATATCGACATGCGTGAACAATGTTGTGCGGCTAACTATGAACAAGTTGTCAACCATGTTGTTCCAAATTGTTACAGTTGAGCAATGTTGTAACAATGTTGATAATAGAGCAGTGATATTAGGCTAAAAAAAGTCTGCTCAATTGAGGAAAGAGTGCAGAGTTAAAACAATTGCGTGCTAGATCCTGCAAGGAACATTAGTGTCTCACCCAGGGAGGCATCGCTGATTTTAAGTACGTTTTCTTCTAGTGAAGATTAGCATGGATGAATTTCAGAAGAAAGACGGTAAAGCAGTGATAAGATTTGTTTCTCGTTTAAAGAGGAATAAGCCATACACGAAAAGCAGGAACAGCAATCAAACTTGGTTGACAACAGACAGAAACAGCGGGAAAACCTTGCAATCATTGCGACAAAGGTGCGAATTTAAATAATTGTATTAAGGTGGCTCGATACAGTTTTTTCATTCACGATTTACGTTCGTATTTTAGGACAATTATTACTTGTTGAAAAACAACATCGAAAGGGTTTGAATTTTTCACAAAAGTTACACAACTACCGTTGCTATGGCAACAATGACGTTTCAAGATCCCCAAATTTTATTTCATGAAAAGATTTGTTTTGACAATTAAATAAAATTCTATTCGGCAAAATAAATTATTATGAATAATCAAATTTACATAATTTGAAAAATTTTGTCTCAACGGAATTTTGTTTAATTGAGCATACTAAAGGTCCGTTTACACTTGCAATTTCTGCTGCGATTTTAGGTGCGATTTTCTTCCGATGGATGTGAACGAGTGGATGAGCTATGAATGTTCAGATGAGGGTGCATCAGTGAGACATATGCTCTGAATATTCATGATTTATTTTACTCGTTCACATGCATCAGAAGAAAATCGCACTAGAAATCGCAGCAAAAATTGCAAGTAGTGTACTAGTGTAAACGGGACTTCAGAGAAATCATTTTATGAAATTAAATTTGGGGTCACCGATGACGTTTACGAGTCTTTTAGGTTGATTTACTTAAGTAAGATTTGTCCAAAAATACTGGAGCCACCTTAATCGACATAGCATGAACATATTACGTTACGTCCATTTAGGCTTCAAAAACTGACACAACTCCCCCTGATGCTTTTAAACGCCAGCGAGAGCCTTCAGGTAATATTTTGAATAGATTGCATTTTATCAGCTTGATTGTTCCTTGCATACCTTTAATGTAGCTCCTAGTGGGTTTTGCAGATGGAAATTTCGTGTGTGAATTCCACACACTTACTACACCCAACCAGGAGCAGTTGCAAAAACTACCGGGTGGCGCAAAAAAAAGTTAACCTGTTTGATTTATTTTAACTTAAAAACTAAAAGAGCTATTACACCTAAACTACGTGCATTGCATTCAGTATTGTCTAACTTAAATTGTGATATACGCCCTGTGCAATTTCGTACAATATTCACCGAGAGAGCTGCGTTTAAACTTGAATAAACATTTTGGGAAGTGTCGAGAATTAGCTAAAAACGGCCTGTTAAACTAATTTGATAACCCTTACCATTTTATCGTAAATATTCGTTTCAATGAAGTGAAGTTTAAATTAAAAATGTTTATAGGATGGAGGTGCTCTTTTATTTTTGTTTAAGGTCTTTGGGAATGCATGCATGAAAATTAATTTATGAAGCGATTTTGATTAAAAGATTTATTCTAAATATCCAATGACCCTGGGGAATCAAATTCTAATGTTCCAAGAAAGAAACGTCAAGTGTTTTTTTTTTATAAATACGCCTCGTTTAACGAATGACCAAAGAGTTTTGATATGTTTAGAATATGTAAGGGTAAATAATGCTCGTGAGGTTATACCGGCGGCGTTGGGCAGGTCTCTGACAACGAACGTGTACTTTCTGACTATAGTGCGTCTAAGCACAGGTTATTGCTGTATTAAATATTTGATAGGCCATTTTTGGCTAATTCTCGACACTTTCAAAAATGTTTACTCAAGTTTAAACGCAGCTCTCTCGTTCAATATTGCACGAAAATGCACAGGGCGTATATCAAAATTTAAGTTAGACAATACTGAATACAATGCACGTAGTTTACATGTAATAGCTCTTTTAGCTTTTAAGTTAAAACAAATCAAACAGGTTAACTTTTTTTTGCGCCACCCGGTATAAAACAACATTTATTAAGTAGAAAAAAACGCTCTTTATTATTTTTCTTGTTCTTTTAATATTAATATAAAAACAAACTAATATATTTAACTCACCTTTTTAAAACATATTTCTACTAAAAAGTGAAAAAGTGTGTAGAAAAATTCTCCAGATCGGAAAAATCATGAAGGCGGGCAAACCCAGGGGCATTTGACATTTTCAATTTTTTGTGTCCATAGTCCTCACTATGAAGCAGCACTTTGTAGTCAATCATAGTCAAATGCCCCCCCCCCCAAAAAAAAAAAAAATGTTATAATCTGCTTAATAAACAATTTATTTATATTTATGATATAGCATTTGTGAATTCTGAATATGATAAATTGGCTAATAACAGTCTGCAACTTAATGAGTTTTAAGAATGTGTGGAAGTTTGAGAGAAATGAGAAACTGCGTGGGAACGCGAGCACGAAGTGCGAGTGTTTCCACGCAATTTAAATTTGAATGTTGCCCAAACTTCCACAAATGTTTCTATAAACTCTATAGGAACACGGAAAAAATTTTTCTATTTCCTTTATTAAATAGCCTTTTAAAAACAATAAAAAGATAAATTTATTGATTTTAATTACACCCATTCAAATATTAATTCTATCTTAATATACGTTCGTGTAAAGAATAATAAAATTAAAGCATAGCCAAGTAAACATTCAAGTATATTGCTGTCAAAACAACAAACAGCACTTAACCGGCTTACTTTACTAAAGTATATATTTCAGTCAACAACGTACATGCTTGCAAGGAAAGCACTATTTTAAATAGTTAGTAAACGTTTAAACATGATTAAAAAAACGATTAAAAACGATGGTAAACATGATTAAAAACGTCGCGAGGAAATATTTTTTTTGAAAAGACGAAGTAAAATTAAAACATATTACCTTGGTAAAACAGTCAAACAGATACAACGTAATTGCTGTATTATACTTTGTGCTTTGTGCTTTGGGTCTGTCTTCGCATTTCTAAGTTCGCAAAGCATTGCCTTTTTTCTGACGGTTCTTCGGCGTTTTTGGACGTTTTCCAACTTTTTTTCCATTTTAAATTATATTGTTTGTATTTTGTCTTTCAAACTCCCACACAATCCACGCAACCCCCATGAAAATTCCCCATGTTTCTATCAAGTTATAGAAACACAGTTTTTTGAGCTTTTGACCAATCAGCGCCCGTGTTTTTAAAAGGTTATTTTATAAAATTCGATATAAACGCAGAAATTTCGCATCGCTCTTGGATTCAATTGTAATCATTATGTTCTCCTTTCTTAATATTTCTTTCCTAGTCTATTAAATTATTATATTAAAAAGACAAAAGTTAACAAGATTTTATTTTAAGAAGCTGCAAATGAAGTGAGATACTATTCATGAACTCACCTTGCGATTTTCCTGAAACACGCCTTGATGTTGCTTGCGCTTGTGAAAATGATAGGAGGCTGGTAAGAATGTCAAAACGCCCGACCCTGGGGAGCTCCCTTGATGTCAAATAGAATAAAATCCCTGACCCAGAAGCAGTCAGGCCTTAAAATATCGGCCGGTCACGGACATTGTCCGACCTATTCGTGAAATTGTCCGATGCAGAGAGGAAACCACCGGACATTCTGTGATTTCTGTCCGACCTAAGTGAAACTGAGGTTTATTGTTTGTCCGACCTAAGTGTATTGGTGTCCGACCGAACTGTTGCTTTGTCCAACGTAAATCAAAATGTTGCCGGCGGCGAGCGAAATGGTAAAGTGGAAAACGAACTTAAGTGTCAACATCTTACTGTTGTTATATATTGGTTATATGCAAGTTAATTTTGGCTTGGAAATAAGTCTGAATGACACAAATTATTTTATATCTTCATAACATTTATCGTTCAGAATTAATAATACATTATGCTGATATTTGTGTCATTCAGACTTATTTCCGAGCTATTAAACTGAACTGATAGGCATCGGACATCATCATACATATGTTCCGACTCAAAGTCATCAGACATTTTGTCAGACGGCCCTGTAAAAGATATTTTAAGGCCTGAGCAGGGAAATCAGGTCAATTCCCCGTGTATCCCCGCCCTCCCTAGAGTTGGGCATTGATTGGTGCATTATAAGGGATCATAGGGAGGCTGGCGAAAAAGGGGGGTAGGCCACCATTTTCATGCTTGCAAAAAGGGGTGGGCCAGAGAAAATTGTGCACTACATTAGGGGTGGGTCATGTGTGAAATATATGTTTTAATTTACAGGGGATGGGGATCCCGGGCAAATGTGGGGACTTTGATGACCAGAATTAATTTTTCAATTTAGTCATATTTCCCCACACCTCGGGAAACAATATTTTGCAAAGTCCTCACCCCCACATGCTATTTTTTTGTTTAAATTGAGTACTTGTTTTGGCAGCAATAAGACCAATAACATGTAAAGTTGCATTCCTTTGACCAGATTTTCTGTTTGTTGAGTACATTAAATTCATACAAACGTATATTTCTATAATTTATAAATGTA